TGTTCCACCAGATGTTGGGACTGTGGATTGTTCTCACCTGAGTCCTTCTCCAGAAATCGCCCTCAGCGGAAGAAAACAATCTTGTCCAAAGTGAGGTCTCCTCTCTGGGAGCAGCCTGCATCCAATGACTGTAGATGGGTAGAGGGGAGTGGAGAGGATGCGGGGGACCCTGATCTCTCTAGAGACAACTCTGAAGGTCATCCTAGGATTGCTGAGGATTCTGTTGCAACATCACATCAGCTTCTTTTGCTCAGTCCTGCTTCCCTTCCTCTTCTCAGGTGCATTCCCAAGCTCAGGTCCCCAAAAAACTCCTGCATTTCTCAGAGTCTCAGATTTCTCAGAGTCTATTTCCTGAGGAACCCAACTTGCAATGCTCACCAAGACAAAAATTTTTCCAAATGTCAAGCAGTTAACTCATGTCTGAGAATGTGACAGTAAAACATGATGAACATAAACCAGTGTTTCCTGATACCATCTTATAGTACAGGAGCTATATTTACTAGGCAGGGCTGCCACTGGCCCATTCAGCACCTTTTTATGAATTAGAAAAAGGCCCTCTCATTGAATGGATGGGGGCCTGTGGCTACATGGTTATGCGAGTGGAGCGGCAAGGGCTGGATTTCAGCCTGCTAGCTCCTTTGGCCAGACACCCTTAGGCATCGAGTAATCTACACAACAGTACATGATGGCCTCTTTTAGATCAGAGGGCACCAAGGGAACAATTGCCCACTACTCAAAAACAATGCAGTTGCTGGAGGAGAGTGGACAAGTAACAATTTAATTCAACAAATGTTTATACACACGTTTGAAACATCATGGATAGAAGGACATTAGGGATATGAAATATTGCCAAGATGCCTAAAGGTGTAAGAAAAATGAATTAAGAGGTGTCATGATAGTAGTGAAAATACCGCAAGCATCTGAAGGAAACCAGAACATGTCACCCCAAAATATGTCTCCTTGACATACTAATTATTTTGAGTTGAAGGCAATTAAGAAGCAGTAAACGCAGAAAAAGCTCCTCCTTTTCTGCCTAAAGGCAGGAAATAAATGCTCCTTCTACTGGAGACAGATTCTTATCAGCCCAGAGAAAGGTACCAGAGGAATCTGCAAACAAACCTTGTTAAACTAACCCTTATCTTCCTAGTTACTTCTTCACCATTTGCTATTTCTAGCCCAAACCCCTTGGTCTTGTCAATTTCTCATAAATTTATTGTTTCTTTCTCTAAAACATATAAAAGCTTCCTGCTCTGTTCACTTCTTCAGGTCTTCATTCTCTTGTGAAGGCTCCCATGTACATGTAAAAATTCAATAATATTTGTATGCTTTTCTCCTGTTAATCTGTCTTTGTCAGCTTAATTTTCAGACCCAGCCAGGGACCCTAAGAAGGTTAAGGGAAACTTTTTCCTCCCCTACAGATCAAATCTAAGCATGAGATAAGAATGGAAAGAGGACAAAAATCAGCCATGTTAGTGGTCAGGAGGTGAGAGCAGGTAGGTAAGGGTTCAATAAAGGGGGACAAGACAGGGCAAACACTAGGCCTGAGTCTACAGTGGGCAATATGTTCTGGGTGATCATTTCTATACTGAAGTTTTGCTGTATGTCTTATTTTTGTATATAATAATGTTATTTGCTCTTACTGAAATATCTGAGAATGTTCAAAGGATTTTGCAAGTGAGATGTTCCAAACATACAGTCTTCCCCTGAAAAGCAACTGAAAACATGTGCATAATTATCAAACGATACTCGTGTGAATGAATCAAGAAAAAGGTTCTCTGGCAATGACGGACTGATTGTTCTTCACTCTCAGTCCAGAAGGAAGAGTAAAATGGTGAGGGGTGGGGGAAAAGTGCAAGTTGGAGTGAGGGTTGTCTGTTCATTTAGTCTCTTATTCTACAAATATTTATTGAGTTCCTACCTTATACTGCACAGTGAGTTCTATATTGTATATTCTTGTGTCTAAGTAATTTTTCAAAGTAAACAGCATAATCAAATAAACCAATTGATTTTTACAAAGAATTTTCCAATACACCAGATACCGCTCTAGTCTACACCATCTCTGTAACATACTCTCTAAGTGTTAAGTATTGTGTTCCCTGTAGAGGAAAGATCTGAACCGACCTCTTTGCTTCCTTGAGGCAGATTTTTTTTTTTACTCCCATCACTCACCTCTCCTATTTCAAATATGTAACCAACATAGAGAAAAAGAAAGCACCTAATAATCCTCCAAAATACAATAGGTTAATAGACTTGGGAACAAGAAAGAAATAAGATGGAAGCAGAGGAATCTTCTAAACATGTCTTTTCATGCTGTTTTATCTACCAAGTTAAGTCACTCCCTGGTCTAGGCTATCTCTGCACCCGGCAACTCTTCTACTGCTACACGGAGCACATGGAGTTTATAAACTTTCTATTAACTTAGCTCCTTCTCCCACTAGACCTGGGCTGCTGGCAAGCAAGAACCAGGTCTTAATCCTTGCCATATCCCCTGCCTTCGAGTAAACGCTGGTCCACAGGATGGATGCCAATGGTTACCTAGGCCTATAACCTAGAGAATGCATCAAAAGGGTTATCAAGAAAAGGACTGCCTGAAATAGATACTAGGAGTTAGACTCTGTAGCTAGAAAACTCAAAGCAAGAATCGAAGAACTGCCAGTGAGTGAAGGCAAACAAGGAGAGCAGGCTTGGGCAAATCCCTGAAACAAGAACTATGCTCTGAGGAGGCTGTGTGAAGCAAAAAGATGACAATGAGATTCCAGTGCAAAACTAAGAAAATGGGATATTTAGGTTTGCAATATGTTATGTGTTGTACTTTTATATTTATCTTTGTCAGTGTCATCCCCAGTATCTGAAACTTGAGACTTCTGAAGGATCCTCACCAATCCCTCTCCATCATCACTCATGCCCAACAGTCTCAGTTTCTCTCCAGTTTCTTCTTAACCCTTTCCCAGTATTTTATTCCCATTGCTGCCACTTTTTTTTTTAGCTCCCCAATACTTTCACTAGAGTAGTGTTCTCCTAATTCAATTCTGTTTCCAGTCCCTTAAAAACTATTCTATGGTCTGAGAATATCTTCCTAAATTTTGGCTCTGATTCTATAACGTCCTAATTCAATAACCTTCAATGGCCCTCTATTTGCAAAGACCTCCAGAATAAAATTCTAAGTCCTTATTACCATTGTATAAATAACATGGCAGAGTGCACTGTGCAAGGGCAGCAGAGTCAAACAGAACTAAGTTTTGAAAATTGCATCTACCACTTACTAGCCATGTGACTACACAAGTCACTTTTACCCCTCTAAGGCTCAGATTTCCAGAGGGAGAGAGAGGGGATGAAAGCTAAGAAGATTAAAAAAGAATGTGCCACGCCCAGTGCTGGGTACATGACAGGAGCAAGACCTGTATTTCAGCCTTGATGGTGCCCTTACCAGCCCTGGACGCTGTGCTCCTCAAAGCTGTACTCTGTGCTCCCACAGACCTATGATCATAGTTCATATCTTACTTACCCTATTCTGCTTGTATCTTATTTAGTACAAGCATATTTTGATATAATTATTATTTGGAGTAGTTTTTTCTTCCCTTCTAGATTGAAAACACCTCAAGGACAAAGGTTTGATCTTGCACATTGTCTTATCTCCCACAGCACACAGCATTATGTACTGCCTATAATAGGACTCTATAAATGTCTACTAAATTGAATTGAATCATTTTACATGATTTACCCAAGTTTTAAAATAAAAAATTCCTTTTGCTTTAAGAATTAAGAGAAGCAGAACAGAGAATAACCATACTGTAAATACAGTATATCCCGCTAGCACCCAACATAGGCCTTGAAGTATAATCAATGTTCCCTAAACTGTGTTAATTTGTGTGTCACCAACTGAACACCTACTGTGGGGAATACAGTCTTCAAAAGTAAGTGTTTTTAGTCGAAAAAGACTTGGGCAAAAGAGAGGATAGTAATATCTACTTAAATCCATCATTACTACTGGAAAAAAATGCCCAAAGAAATCAGTTCTAATGGTATTGAACAGCAAAACTCTTCTGCTCCAGAATATGCTTTAATTTGAATAGGTTTGTATTCTCTGTTTCCACAGAAACTAAAACCTGAGAAAATGAGCTCAAATTGCATGCAGAAATTATGACTTTTAAGATGCTTTAGCTGAACTGTATTCAGCGGGGGAAAAAAATTATGTTTCCCATTTTATTTCTGGTAAGTAACATGAAGAGCTGATCTTGGAACAGATTACAATGCAGTCACGCTGCTTATTTTTTAACTCCTTATCTTGAAAGTACAATAACCCAAAGTCAAACTTTTAAAATAGAGAGTACAAAAGTTATTACTGACGTAACTTTTAACAGTTGCTGCGACTGATTCTTTAAAAATATATGTCAAAATGCTTACGTTCACGAACTGTTGCCAGAGAGACCCCCGGTTAAACCTTCTACAGCTTTAGACCTTGACCAACTTACTTAACTCCAAATCTTCATCTCCTCACCTGTAAGATGAAGACAACAGGAGCATCTATCTGAGGGGCTGCTGAGGGAATGAAAAGATTAAATGATACTACGGATGAAGCGCTGCGCCGGGCACCAAGGGCGCCATTGACAAATGCTAGCTATAACCATCATCGCCATTATTACGGAAGTTTACCTAGTCGTCATCATTTACAACTGGGTTATATAATATATACGTCGTCAATATGTGATACTGGCGATATATATCATTCTCAGCTACCTTTTGAGAAATACTTTTTCTTTCAAAGGAGACCCCGAGGCTCCCGGCGGCTCTTGCCGCGCGGCCACGGCGCACAGTCCTCACCCTCGGCGCGGTGGCTTCCTCCCGACCGGCTCCGAGGCTGGGCGGCGGGCGCTGCTCCGCGGGTCCCGGCCAGGCCGCCCCGCCCGCCCGGCGGGCATGAGTGACGGCGACAACAGGTGCAGCGCGGCGTCTCCGGAGCACCCGAGTTTGGCGCGTCAGGCCCCGGGGGTCAGAGTTTGGAAACTGCCCTCGTCGCCTGGCACCAGCCTTCCGAAGTCGCCCCTCAGCCAGCGTCCTGTACCTTAGTAAAGCCTGAGGTCACCTCCAACTCTCGAAGCCCACCCGTCCCAGAGGCCGACTTCTCTCCACAGGGGAGGAGAGGGACAGGCGCGCGGCGCATGGAGCTCTGCACGAGCGCTCGCTCGCTCCTCCCCGGCCGCCCGAAAGCAGCCCAGAGGGGCCCCAGAGCCGAGCCCTCGACCGCACCCCCCACGCCCGCCCCGACTCGCCGCACGCTCGGGCCCTGGGACGGCCCAGCTCGGCGACCCCGGGCCACCGCCGAAACCGCCCGCCCGCGCCCCTCCGCGGCTTGCGGCGCCCGCCCGCCCCGCCGCGTCGTCGCCCGCCCCTCCCCACCCCCCGGGGGCAGATTCAGGCCCCGGGTCCGAGCCTGCGCCCCTGCAGCTGCCGCCGCCGCCGCCGCCGCCAGGGGGAGAGAGGCTCCGTCGGGAAACGTGGTGTGGCTTCCTTGGTGTGAGGGCCTTTCAAACTTCAGGTTTCTGGTCGTTTCCCCCGGTGGCTGAGGGGCGTCGAGGAAGATGGAGAGCCAGTGCGGGGCGGTGAGTAGGCGGCCAGGGCCCCGGCCCCGGGGAAGCGGGCAGGGAGCGAGGTGGACTCCGGCCGTGAGGGGCGGGAAGGGCGAGGGCTAGAGCCCAGACGCCGCTCGTGGGGCGGGAAGAAGCGCGGACAGGGTGCCCGTCGACCGCCGCGAAGCGCGGCCGCCTGCAGGCCCGTCGGCTGTGTCGTGGGGTCGGGGAGGTGCGGCCACCGGCCTCGACTGGGCGTAGGCGGGCCGGGGGGCCTCGGGAGCGGGCGGGAGGCCGGGCCCTGTGCGCCAGCCGATCCGGCGACAGAAACAGCTTTCCCGCCGAAACCGGGCTCGGCGGCGTCTTCGACACTCGCTGCATTCAGATGCCGCCCGCCGCGAGGGGTTGCCAGGGCGGCCGACGCCCCCTCTCCCCTACTAATCAGTGGGGACCGGAAGGCCTGAGGGACCACCTGTGGCCCAGGTCGGACCGCACACTCCACCACCGGGTGCGCGCCGAGCTGGTCGGGGCCGGGAGGGGGAGGGGCGGGAGGCCGAGCAGGCCCAAAGGGCCACGGCAGCGTGCCGCCGCGCCCCGCCCCGCGCCGCCGGCAGCCAATCAGCGCGCACCACACGAGCGCCGCGGGGCCGGCTTCGCACAAGGCCGACGTCGGGTCGGTGCGGTTGAGGGTTCCCGACGCTGCTGCTGGCGGGTTCGCGGGGCAAAATTTCTCGCTGGCTGGCCTTCTTTTCCCTCCCGCACTTTGGTGGGGAGGGGGTGGATCCTCATGTCAGCGCCCAAGTTCATGATGACCTGAGGGAGCCGGAGGAAGTTGTCGCCGCGGCCATTTCCACCAGCGCCTCAACTTGGTGGCCGCGGAGGGGAAGGAGCGCCGAGGCTGTGACCACGACGGTTAGCCCGCCCTCTTGCCGTTGTTCTCGCCGGCGAAGTAGACGATAGACTTCGAGGTTAACCCTCAAGGAGAGGAGGCAGAGAGGGACATTACTTTGGTGGAAATTTTTAATAAACTCTTTAGGGCTAGAAGTTTTACTGAGCTAAGGACGCTTAATTCTAACCCAATAACAGCACCTGCCTGGGTGCTTTTCATACATTTGCAGAGTTATTGCCAGTGGAATGTGAGGCTTGCTTTATTGTTTAACTTAGTGCATCGCTAACCTTCTCCGAGGGCCTTAGGTGTTGGCTCTACCTGAGCCTTGTTACTGCTAACATTAAATACTTTCGAGGTTGTTCCTGTTGTTCTTCAGCCCGCTGCCTAATGCTTGGCATATCGTGAGCAGGAGGAAATGATTCATTCGTTTCTTCATTCGTTCAGCAGATATGTATTGGGCACCTGCTATCTGCCGTCGCTGCTTAGATGCTGCAGCGATAAAACAGGCAAAATCCCTTTTCTCATGAACATTACTCTATAGAGACAAACAATTAACATAAGTAAATTACATAGTATGTTGGAAAGTGATAAGTGGTAAGGAGAAAAATAAAACAGTTGGAACCCACAATAGAGCAGGAGCTTTAGAAACATGAGAATGAAGTGAATTGGATGTAAAAAGTTGATATTTTTCTTTTCTCAGTATCATTTAACTAGTTTCTCAAGACTGGAAATAAAGCACTCCACTTCCGGTCACGTCATCCCTCTCTCAATGAAAAATAATGAAGTTGACTTTTATTTAAACAAATTTGAGAACAAATGAGTTCATCTATTGAACTCTTTTTTAGAAGAAAATTTCATGAAGACTGATTTTTTTTTAATTTTGCAAATAGGTAATTTCTACATTTTCTGAGAAAGCAGGCAGAGACAAGATTATAACTACCAGAGCTGTTCTGTTGCCTCTAGCAGTACAAATCCAGGGTTGAAAAATAAGACTAATCGTCCCAGGATCAACCATTCTGGGCACTATGTCCTACATGTAAAGTGACAAGTTACAGATTACCTCCAAATGCCCAGAGAGGATGCTGTTAAGATTGGATTCCCAATTTCTTTACTTGGAAACTACAACATAGCAATTATTAAATGTGATGACTTTTCTGTCGTTTCGTGGATGTTTTTATGAACTCCCTTATTAGGGAGTGTTTTTCCCCCTTAATGCTAGATATGGAATAGAGCCCCTAAGTCCAACCTATAGCCCCATAGTCACCACTGGCCTAGTCATTTCTCTGTACATCTTGCAGAGATTAATTTAGGGATTATGGCTTTACTGGCCAGTGAAGTGAAAGGTGAGAACAAATGTGAAAAAGAACAACTCTGTTACCTAAGTTGGAAATTCCTTTTCATGTATTTGTTTCTCAGATAATTGAAATTATGAACTTCAGACTTTTTGAAGCACTCATTTAGTATGTTAGACTGCCTCAGAAGTCTGTTTAGTGTTCCTGGAAGGAAAATAATTAGCAAGTTCTTGAATTAGATTCTCTTCAAAATTCTTTTCGCAAGTCTTGTTTTTTTCCAGATGTACCTTGAGAGTCTACTATCTTGCCCTTGTGTAAAGGCTTATATGTTAATATGTACTTATTAAAATCTAAATTAGGTCCTTAAAATTGTAAACAGTGAATATGTACTATGAGCTCAATTCTTTGGTATAAAAATTTATACCTATGAGTTAAAGGTGTATAATTTGTTTTTACAAAATCAGTCCGATCTTCAAATTGACAAGTGGATTTAAAAATTTGACTTTAGAGCTGAAAAACAGTGAACTTGAACATCAGAGTTTGTTAACTTGTCAATGCCCTTTAGCCAGAGACCACCCGGAACACATCTGTAGTTTGATCAAGTTGGGTCTGTTGAATTGTTGCAACAAGGAAGAACATACACCATGGAGCCTCTCAGTAAGAGAGTGTTAGAAAAAATTTATTATAGATTTTAGGCTCGTGTTAAGCCCTTTTTTAGAGAGGGTTTAAGGAAGAAGGGCTTTACTCTGAAATTCGTGTTGTCAGGAAGTGGGAGTAATTCTGTGATTGGGTATGTTAATTCTTATCTAGAAGGCAAGAAAAATAGATCTAGGCTAAAGCTGTTATTGATAAAGAAGGAGCAATCCCTCATATCAGCCAGGATAGAGGATATTTGGTTATTCTTGTGGTTTGGACAGTGCTTTTGTTTTTGTCAGTGTTCAGACATGATTATGGAGTGGTCTTGTTTTTTGTCTTGATGCATCACAGTCACAGAGTAGCCTTGCCTGATGTTGGTGTTGTGTTCATGAGAGACCACCACAGCCTCGCTGTGAGTTCCAAGCCAACTCCCAACAACATCAGGAGCTAGTTGGTTGTGCCAGGCCAGCTCCTAGCCGTCCAGGGCTGCTTTTGTCTTTCTCAAACTTCTTTTTGAATTTAATAGTCCTCCTTAATATTTATAATATTTAAGTAGTATATTTAATAATAGTTAACATAAGTATATTTAAATAATATATTTGACATTTAAGATTTTCTCTGTAGTAGATTCTACATTTCCTATATTTGTTTCCCCACAAGTTATTAGCTCTAATTATAATTTTCATAATATTAGAATAAAATTAAAGTCTAAAATATTGCATTTGTCTAAATGATTCATCTTTTTGAAAAATATGTGTTTTCAGCCTGCATCAAAACTTATACCCAGTGCTAAAAGCTTAAAAGAGTTTTATTTTACAGCAAACATCAAATCAGACGCAAACAGATTCATTATCTCCATCCCCTAATCCTGTGTCACCTGTGCCTTTGAATAACCCAACAAGTGCCCCAAGATATGGAACAGTGATCCCTAATCGCATCTTTGTAGGAGGAATTGACTTTAAGGTACCTATTTATGCATGTAACATAGTGTATTTTTTGCATTAGAAGTTATTTTATTTCTCAGAAATTGTTTCTTTGTGCAACTATAAAAATAATAACATATTTGCTATTTGCATAATGAGTAGTAGGTTTCAAATTGTCTTAATATCGAGAATCTTTTCAACAACAATGGAGGTTAAATAGAGCATACATAATTGTCCCATTTCACATACAAGGAAATTGAGGCTCATTGTCTTGTCTGTAGGCTCCTAGCTACTTAGTGACAGAGTGAAGACTAGAATCCTAGTTTTCTGACCCATAACTCCGTATACCTTATTTCCCATGCCACACTAATTGTACTTTCTTGCACAGTACTCCAATAGTCCAAATAATGAGTGATTACAATTTTCAAAAGAAGACTCAGTTAAAAAAAACACACATGAAACTTAGTCCTGTAAAATCTTGTTTCTTTTTTGTGTGTGTGTGTGAGGGAGATCAGCCCTGAGCTAACATCCGTGCTAATCCTCCTCTTTTTGCTGAGGAAGACCGGCCCTGAGCTAACATCTATTGCCAGTCCTCCTCCTTTTTTTCTTCCCCAAAGCCCCAGTAGATAGTTGTGTGTCATAGTGACACATCCTTCTAGTTCTTGTTTCTTTCTTGCAACATTTATCTCAGATTCCTGAGTAACCCCCTAGACTTCCATCTTTTGCAAATTGCTTTGTAGCGCCTAATTTAGAATTGATCACCAAAAAAGGCCTATGTTATTTTTAGAATAAAGAATCTTAGCAGTAATATATTTAAATAATGTAATCAGCCATTTCCCTTTCAGAGAGGCATAGTTTGTGAGATGCCTGCAGCACGCTACACCTATAGGAAAGGCAAGCATGAACACTTTAAGTGGATTACCCTTACTTCCAAGTGGATATATAGAAGGATTTCCAAGCTTCCCTATTACATATTAGAAATTACGGAGAGAGCTGTCTTTCTTAATTAGGAAAAAAATCCTTGTGCCATTAGGGTATGATATTTGACATTTATAACTCACCATTTCACTATAATCAGTCTGTCACAATTTGGATAGAATTACTTTTTTCCTGCTCAAGAGAAATGTTACACTTAGTGCTGTCAAAATAATGAGTCTTAAGCAAGTATGTGATTGGTTTACTAAAAATAGAAATGATTTATTATGAAACGCTTATTTTTAAAAAGATTTTCTGTTTCTATGGAAAATATTAATGGCTGAGCATAAATATTCAAGTTAAGTATTCTTGTTCAGAATTTATTTGTATTGCTGTAGCTTAGTGTATTTTTTAAATAAATCATCAATAAATGTAAACATTTGTATGGCTAGGTTATTCTAGGTTACTGGAGCCTATCTGCTATGATATGAACTTTGGGAGACCATTGTTACAGTGCAGTCATAGCTTTAAGGTAACTGTTAGGGTTCCCTTTCTTATACCTTTTCCAAAACCACAGATAAATGCCAGCAAGGAAATAGTTTATTGTAGGAGCAAGCAGTCTCAAACTTTTTAAAACTCTTCCTTTTAGAAGTTTACAGCCCATCCCTCATAATATTTAATCATCTTGACTTTCTGTTCCTTACTTTTCAATGAAGAAGTGGAGCTGCAAAACTGAGCTAGTGATTCTTCTGCCAGACAATGTTTTGAATTAATTTGTTTTCAGATCTCTAATAGAAATCCTTATCCTGGCATTGATTCCATTTTGTGTTTATTGAAATAAGAGGCATTCGATTATTCTTAGATTAACTCAGTATTTGTCATCATCTAGTTTAACAGGCTTTAGTTACAAACTAAAAACCAATAATGTATGTAAGTAGTGAGGAACTCAAGAGGTGTAGCTCTACTGTTAGGCATGTCTTTTCCTATGTATATGAAGAAAATTTTTTTCTAGGGATATTTAGAGTTCCTCTTGGGGGCAGTTACAGTTGAACCAGAAAATGAAATTACAATGAATTTAGTGTGAGTACTCTAGGAAAAGGTGTTATGAGTCTATTATGAGACTATTTCAATTAAAACCAGATATGCCAAAACTATCTTTGTAGACATCTTGTACGTTATAGTCTAATTATGACTCAAATTTTTATTTTGAATGTTATCATAATGTCTGTATTTAGCTGAAATGTATATCAAGTACAGATAAAGCAACTAAAAACTTTAAATCTTGTAGCTGCTTCATTGTTATCACAAATTGAGTTCAAGTACTTTTGGAAATATGTTATTTTCCTAAGACCTTACTCTTCTGGAGACAATGCTGATTAAAATAGAGTGACTGGTGTAGGCCAACATAACCTAATTGCACTGCCATGACTGGGCTTCTGTAAGCCGCAAGGACCAATCGTAATATGCCTTTACTTTAGTTATAGCCATGCCTAATTCACATTATTTTTTTAAAAACTGGCCAACTAGAGAATAAGAATTCCTTTAAACAGTAAGCTTTCTTTGTAGTTTTAAACAATTCTGCTTCAAGTTTTTTTATTGATATGTAATAGTTTAACAACATAGTTACTGCATAAAGCGAAGTATTTATATTGATTTTAATAACCTGTTGGTTTCATGCCCTGTTTTTATGATGAGAGGCATTCTTATATCCATATTATTATTTATTTATAAATTTTCTGCCTCCAAAACAAGCATGAGAGTTGTTTCAACTTTTATCAACTAAAAAAAATTTTTTATGTTCTCTTTTTATGCCATTAGACAAATGAAAATGATTTAAGAAAATTTTTTTCCCAGTATGGGTCTGTAAAAGAAGTGAAGATTGTAAATGACAGAGCTGGAGTGTCCAAAGGGTTAGTATCACTATAGATAGTATGTAGAATTAACAAGTGTATTTTTATTGGATTACTAGGTTTTGTATGCTAACTTACTTTGATTCCATTTTTTAAAAAGAGAATTTCATACCCTCTTCTTTCTTCCTACCTTTTGATCTCCTATTTCGTGTGTGTGTGTGTGTGTGTGTGTATGTGTGTATGTATGTATTTTGGAGGGAGGGGGACACAATAATATTCCTTAATTTGTTGGGAAGTTATTCTTGCATGGGCTGAGGGACCATTCAGTGTTAGGTAGCAAGCATTTAATGTTGAGTCGCTAATGTCCAGTAGCTAAGGAACCAGAAGCTGAAGGAATCAGATACTTTTGGAATTGTATACCTGCTTTACACTAGAGAGCTTTATTTGAAAAAAGCTGACACAGAGGAATGTCTGTAGATTGTGCCTCAGAGACCTAATTAGTGGACTAATTTGGGAAATATAATTCTAATGAGAATGATTTTTAATTGCTGAATCAAGGAGAATTAAAATTGAGAAGGAAGCAGTAGGATTTGTCTAGAAATGTCTAATGACCGTAGAAATGTTTTGGTGGATTGGTGTATACAAACGCCAAATTTCAGACAAGAAAAAGATAGTTTACATAGTATACTCACTTAAGAAGTTTGACTGCAGAGTTAAAGAAAATAAAATGGTAAGGCAGTGGAGATCAATAAAGAATTGTGTTTGTTTTCGTGAAAGAGAGGCAAGACATGCATATTTATAGGCATAAGAGAAGAGACCAATGAGGTGGATAAAAAATTATATTAGTAGGAAACAACATGTAAGTGTGACAAGGGGGCACTTTGGAAGAGATGGGATCCTACGGAGAGGTTATTTTTAAAGAAATGAGATACTTCCTCAGACTGACAAACAGTATTAGGATGAAGTGAGATTGTACCTCTTTGGTTTGGCTAATAAAATTTGCAATATCTTGGTAATATCCATTTTTTATCGTTGAAAAATATCCATAGAAATGTAAACTGTATTTCTTGCCTTTTCCCCTGGGTGGTGTATGTGTTCTACCAAAAAATTTAGTGTAAAAATATTTTCTTAACCCTTGTTTAATGTTTGGGCAAATAGAAAAAGAAAAATTCCTTTGTTAGAAAAACAAATTTTATATATAATACAGTAATTGAACTGAAGAAAATAGTAGTCAAGATATTTAGTACTACTCAAAAGAGTTTCCTTAACTAAAAAGAAGTTAAACTTTGGGGGGAATATACCTTTTATTTCTTTTGTTTCTTTTCGTCTACCTATTTTGGCTTTTTGGACATGGCATACGTCGTGTATTTGTTTCTTGAACATTATGTGAATTATACTCTGAAAGTAAGAATTATATGTAAAAAGCAGATATAAAGTCTGGGTTATATATATTTTTAATTGATTTTGTTTGGAAAATATACTAATAATTACATTATCAGTTTATATGTGCTAATAATAGTAAATAATATGTCTGTAAACTCATTTACCAATCTAAAAATATTGTGTTTAAATTTTTAAAGTTTTTTTCTACTTTGATTTCCTATTTAAGCCAGTTTTTTATCTTAAAAGGAGATTATTGCTCTAGACTGAAATTCATTGCATCCTGATTCGTAAGTCAGAACATGAATCTCTCATGCTTTCCTGCGTAACAGCCCAGATCTGAAAACGTTTTGAAATCCCTCTTTTTTTTAATTTCAGTCCCCTGACTCTAAGAGGAGGTGACAGTGTTAAGTTGTGAATGATTCTCCTAAGTTTTGCATGCTGGTGCACCATAGAAAAAGGCTCACTCCTACAGTGGCCCATTCTTAAAAAACAAAAATTTTTTAAATCTTTGTATAATGCTAATATAATGTCCTAAGAAAATATTTAATACATTTACTTAGGTATGGTTTCGTCACTTTTGAAACACAAGAAGATGCACAAAAAATTTTACAAGAGGTAAGATCTTTTGGTGTATTTAACTTCATTTTCGGAACTTCTTTCTTTGAAACTAATCCTTTAAGGTATTTATTTTAATAGTAGGGTTCCAGTGCAAGGATCAATTGCTAAAAAGGAAATTTTTTAACTTATTTACATCTTAAGATTGACATTGGTCTCCAAAAAAATAGAATTAAAGAGTAACTTTATCTGCAGAAAAATTCCAAATCGTTACATGAGTATGGTTGTGAAGTTGTGATATAATTTTTCCCTTTATTTGCTTATACTAATAACTTGGGGATGTATCTTTTCTGAAGTGTTAATAGCACTTTGGATTCCTAAAAACACTACAAATATGAATTCCTAGAGTGAGGTTATCTGAGATTATTTCACTGCTATGAAAAACTATATAAACTAAGAGCATTCATAGAAAAAATCTATAGCCTGCAGTTCAGTGTAATAACTTTAAATTTGATGAACGTAACATTTAATTTTTTTAGGAAAAAATAGAATTTAAATTACATATTATTAAATTACATGCAGTCGATTCTCATTATTCATAGTAGTTGTGTTCTGTAAAGTCACCGCAAACACTGAATTAGCAAATATTCAACTGCTGCTCCAAGAAGAAATACAGGACTAGGTTCCTGCAAGCTTCTGGTCACAATATTTTCATCAATCAATCAATACATAACTTTGTTTTATGTGTGTTTCTGTTGAAAGACGTCGTATCTAATATATATTGTTGTTTCATTAACATTGACTTCATGGCCAACAGCACAATAACTCGTACCTGAATTAAGCCCATCTAACACATATTTTCTGCATAAGGCACATGACAGTCTTCTTGCCCTTAGAAACACTAGCCAGCACGTCAGCACTATGCTTGAGGGCTATTTTAAATAACAAAATCACCAACGTAAAACACAAAAATGTGAAAAACATGGCACTAAATAGAACATGAAAGGGGACACTTGTTTACAGTACAGGAGCTGAAACAAGAAGACAGCCTTGTTTGACCTCAGCTGAGACCGTGTGTGTCAAGAAACTTTTTTTTTTAACTGACGTAACACTGCTTTATAAGATTATATAAATTTCAGGTGTACATAATTATATTTCAACTTCTGTATAGACTGCATCATGTTCATCACCAAAAGTCTAGTTGCCAGCTGTCACTGTACACATGTGCCCCTTCACCCCTTTCACCCTCCGCCCACCTCCTTTCCGTTTGGTAACCGCCAGTCTGTTCTCTGTATCTATGTGTTTATTTATTTGTTTATCTTCCACATATGAGTGAAGTCGTAAGGTATTTGCCTTTCTCTGTCTGACTTATTTCGCTTAGCATAATACCCTCAAGGTCCATCCATGTTGTTGCAAATGGCAAGATTTTGTCTTTTTTATGGCTGAGTAGTATTCCGTTGTATATATATACCACATCTTCTTTATCCATTCATCCATTGATAGGCACTTAGGTTGCTTCCAAATCTTGGCTTTTGTGAATAATGCAGTCAACTCATATTTTTCACCTCTCCGCTCATGTCCACTAATAACCACTAAATTGCCAATGAGTATTGATTTGGAGGTTACAAATAAATTTTAGTGAATAGGCTAATTCCCAAATACAGGATCCATGAATAGAGGATTGACTATTCCCGATGAGGAGTTAGGGTCATAGCATTGGAACTAAGATCCAGATCTATTTAAATACAAATACTTTGCCCTTTCCACTAGGCCTTGCTGCTTTCAAAGGATGTTATAGTCTGAATTTAAAAATTGTTTTTCACTAGTTTTTCCTTATTGGTTTTATTAAAAATAGTGCCAAAATAATAAATTTATTTTTTCTTATTTTAGGCTGAAAAACTTAATTATAAGGATAAGAAACTGAACATTGGTCCAGCAATAAGAAAACAACAAGTAGGGATCCCTCGTATGTATTGAGAACTAACGTATCTTTCTTTCAATATTTTTGCATGGTTCTTTTTTGAAATACTAGACTTTTTGTAGAACTTTACTAAAATATTAGCTTTCTTTCATTTAATAAAATTATTAGCAAAGTTGGTGGTCAAATGAATATTTCTTATCACAAATTAATACATATTAGATTTTGGGGGGCTAGGGAAAAATTTACATAAATAATAATGCTTATATATATTCCATATAGTTATATCTTTAAAGGAAAAATCTGGTAAAAATATAATTTAAAATTTCAAAAGTAATTAGAAGTAATTAAGATTTACTAATTAGAAAATTTTCTAATTAGGAAAGTAATTTAAAATTAGAGTAAAAATACTAAAAGTGAAAATATAGAACCAATCTCAGAAACTGTGCACAGTATGTACTATAATCCAACCACACAAGTCATAATTATCAGAGTGAACAATCCCTTAAAGCTTTAGGAATTGGCTAAGTTATGTGCCTTCCTCAAATTTCAGTGATGCTTTTAACTCTATTCTTTTTTTCTCAGTCTTCCCATTTATTAAATTAGGTACCTTGACACTTAACTATTTATTAAAATCTCTCTATATATATGTAATTGAAATGTACAGCATAGTACCCTATACTAGCCAGTATAATACCCCATACTACCTCTTTGTGTATTTATCAAAATTGTATTTAATTAGTTAATTGTGTAATTAGCTAATGACTGTCTTCCCCAGCAGAACCTAATTTCTATGAAGATAAAGACCATGGCATGTCCAATTTTTTCTTTTCTTTTTTAGCTGTATCATCAGAGCCTAGTTCAATGCCATGTAATTGTGCTCACTCAAAATTTATTTATTTAACAGATAAACCTTTGGTTCCTTGATGATCTTTGGAGGGAAATCCATGAACCTCCTGAATTATGTACAAAATTTTGTTTGAATGTATATGTTTCTGAGGAGAGGGTCTGTGGCTTTCATCAGATTCTCAAAAGGATTGGATTAAAAACCACTAAAATAAGCAGTAACAATACTAGATGAAATGCTTTGAAAATATAAAAGCTGAGAAGTGGTAGTGCTACCTAAAGTGCTAGGCCAGTACTGCTTACAGTGTGGTTTGCAGCCAGCAAATCCTCAGGCCTATCCCAGACTTACTGAATCAAAATCTCTGGAGATGGGGCCCTGGAATTTGTATTCTAATAAACTGTCCAGGTGATTCTAAAGTGTGTTAAATTTTGAGAAGCACTGGTACAGTGGAAGGAGGATTGCCATTTCCAGTAATTTATATAACCTTGCTGGTGGAGTACTTAATCTAACTTGGCTAATATAAATTTTTAAAGTCATCCTGACAAATAACAATATTATTTTTTTATTTTGGGGGGAGGGGTATATATAACTTAACCTGGGAAAAGAGATGGGGACCCAATACTAGCCACGTGAAGAGTTGTGGTCGTGTTTATAATGCAGCAGTTGTAGCAAAGGGAGAATAGAGGATAAAAGAGAGTCATGGCATGAATGAATGTTTGCTGATAGTAGATCTAAAGAATTTGTAGAGTGGAACCAAAATGTCTTCAGCAAAGTAGAACCTTCTCCAACTTCATTGCCTCCACCATCTTTGGCCTTTTACAAATAGGTCTTACTAAGGTCTTAGGAACTTCACTATATAGTCTTCAGGTAACTCTAAATTGTATATAATTTATATTTGTAAAAATAATGACTTTGGTGATAATCTAAATTGTTAAGCTTTGTGTTTCATTATACTTGTATTAAAATCTGAATTGGTGAATTTTTAATAATCCTTATTAAACTTGTTTCTTTTTCTTTTATTCACCTTAGGCTAATAAAAGCTCTAAGGTAGTGAGTTGAAAATATAGTCATGCACCACATAACGATGTTTCAATCAATGACAGACAGCATATATGACGATGGTCCCATAAGATTAGTACCATATAGCCTAAGTGTGTAGTAGGCTGTACCATCTAGGTTTGTGTAAGTACACTCTGATGTTCCCACAACAGTGAAATCAGCTAATGACGCATTTCTCAGAACATATCCCTGTTGTTAAGTGATGCATGACTGTATATACTTCAAAGATACTTTAACATATGGAATTTTTTTTAAAGAATTTGTAACATTGAATTTTTACTATAGCTATATAGGTGTGTTAAGACAAACATTTTCCGGTGTTCAGAAATTACATTTTGAAAAATTAAATTGAACATTTCAATTATTATTATTTAATCTTTGCTTTTAGGTTCCAGTATAATGCCAGCAGCTGGAACAATGTATCTAACAACTTCAACTGGATATCCCTACACTTATCATAATGGTGTTGCTTATTTTCATACTCCAGAGGTAACTTCTGTCCTACCACCATGGCCTGTAAGTAGTTTCATTTTAGAAGAGTTTCCATCTATTACTATCATATTATTTTAAAATATTATTTTATTTCTGAAATATTTCAACCACAGACAAGTACAAATAATAATATAACTATCATGTAGCCACCGCTCAAATTTAGTAGATGTTAACATTTTGCCATATTTAAGTTCTTTTAATAGGGGGAATAAAATATGATAAATTCAGATAAAATCTCCCTGCCCCCATTCTCTTTACCCTCTTTTCCTCCTCAGAGGTAACCAGAATATCTTCCCTGTCCATTTTATATGTTTTTACTACAAATGTAGGTATCCTTAAACAATATATGGTATTGCTTTGGGTGGTTTTTAAATGTTATATAAATAATCTGGTTTTTCTATTGAATGTTATGTTTTTGAGAGTAAACCATGTTGATCCTAGTATATCTAGTTCACTTATTTTAATATTGTATAAGATTCCATCGTATGAGTGTATATTCCCCTATTTAAGGACATTTTAAGTTTGTTCTGCAATCAAGACTACAATGAACATCCAGATCTTGTATGTATTGTGTGCGAGTTTGTCTAGGACAGTGGTCTTCAAAGTTTGTTTATATAGTCTCTAAAATTTTTATGAAAAATTATGAATACTCTCACTCATTTTTAAATTGATATATGAAATTTATCATAATTTTAAATAGTTTAGACATATTATATATTGTAGATTTGCTTTAGATATATTTTTATAAAACTTCATAGCTATAGATTTCGTTTAAGAATAGAAAATGTCCTATGTGTGGATGGATGTTAGCTAGACTTATTATGGTCATCATTTCACAATATATACATGTATTGAATCATTAAGTTGTACACCTGAAACTAATATAATGTTATACGTCAATTATATCTCAATAGAAAAAAAAGAGTAGGGGCCGGTGTGGTGGCATAGTGGTTGGGTTCATGTGCTCCACTTTGGTGGCCCAGGGTTCACAGGTTCAGATCCCAGAGGCAGACCTAGGCACCACTTATCAAGCCATGCTGTGGTGGTGTCCCATATACAAAATAGAAGAAGATTGGCATAGATGTTAGCTCAGGGCCAATCTTCCTCAAGCAAAAAGAGGAAGATTGGCAATAGATGTTAGCTCAGGACCAATCTTCCTCACCAAAAAAAAAAGACTGGAAAATGTCTGCTCTGTAACTCAGTTAACAAAACTAGTAAACCAAATAAAACTAATCAATCAAATAAAACTTAGTTTCTCTTAGAAAATTCTGGCTTTAAGTTCAAATAAATAAGTTAACGTATATCCCTGTGACCAGGATGTAATTTATTTTGCTTCCTTGATGAAATAAGGTACCATCTCCCCTTTAATATTTCCTATACAAGCTCTTTTTGCTTTGCTCTCCTGTTTCTCAAGGGCATTGCCTTCTTGAATTGTCTATTTGTTTGATGCCCTGTTGGTTTTTACATTCCAGAACCAAGCATTATAGCAAGATCAGAATGAGAGAGAAGTGTGCTTTTCATAATGAAGGAAAAGGGTAATTGTGAAAGGGGAGTTTTGAAAAGAAGAATCCATAGTACATAGACACGTTCTCAGACAGATCAAATCAGGAAGGAGGACACAGGAAATTTAGGCTCTGAAAATTAATACTCTTAAACCTATTCCTGCCCATGTACCACTGGAAAATTTTTATGTTCCCCTACCTTGGTCTAGGCTGCGATATATGTGTATAAGTAGAATTTCACATTCATAGAGTAGACACATCTTTGACTTTGGCAGCTAGGAGTTGCCAAAGACCCTCCCAGTGTGTACCAGTTTATACTTTAGCTAAAAGTTTGTAAGAGCTCCATTTTCTCTGTGATATGCCAACCCTTTAATTTACTAGATTTTTAGTGGCAAAATCAGATACGGTTATTCATTCATTCTAAATGCTATGTAAACATTATCTACTGCTGGTCTCTACAATGAAAATAGGCAGTGTCACTGTAAGTCTAGCTGCCGTTTTCCTCTAAATATTTTCTTAGAACTATATTTTCATAATCTTTGGACTAAAAGCAACTTTTCTGATGGTTGTTTTTTAGCATTACTGTGGAAATGAAACCACATGGAAGTAGGAATGTTGTGTTGATTTTGATAGACTGAAGTGGAGTTGATAATATAAAGAAGTGGAAAAATGACATTTCCAATCATAAACCATAAGTTGACTGGGTTTAGGAAACAATTGAAGATAAATTTTATTATAAACTATTTTAAAGAATTTTGCCTAAAATAATTTTTCTATTTTCCTTTCCTCTTATAGTCACGTTCAGTATCTAGTTCCCCTGTGATGGTAGCTCAGCCTGTTTATCAGCAGCCTGCATATCACTACCAGGTAAACATTAAATTACAATGAAAATCCTCTTTGATACTTTCAGTCCTTTTTTGGGTAACTTTCATTCTGTTCTTTCTCATCAAATACTTTTGTAATTAAAAAGAAATAGTTAAGCCTTGATAGCAGTGTTTTTTTTTTTTATGAGGGAACTTAACAGCGTCACACGGGAAGGTGGACTGTTTGCTTCCTTTTACCAAATTTAATGAGGTCAGTTTTGCTCCCCTGGCTAATATTTAATCTAAAAAGTCTTTAGAAGTAATTCCCAAAGTAAGATACCGATATTGGACCACAGGCTGATTTTTATTGTTACCGTTAACATTATGTCAGTTTCTTGTTATTATATTTAATATAATGTATATGAAAATAAGTAATATATTGTGGTTTATATTATAACAGCCTCTCTTAGTTAACCAGCACTCTTCTTTTCATTAATTCTTATGGGAGGCTGGGGATAAGTTAACTATAATGCCAGATGATTTTGGTTTTTGTAAATAAAGTGTAATTGGAACACAGCCATATTTGTTTACATATTGTCTATGGCTGCTTTTGTGCTGCAATGGCAGGATTGAGTAGTTGCAACAGAGATACTATGGCCTGCAAAGCTTAAAATATTTACCTTCTGGCCCTTTACAGAAAGTTTGCCAACCTCTGGTCTATAGCATTCAAAAATAAAACCACATTCTCTCATACCTCTGGAATAGTAGAGGAGAATTTATTTCTGTTTCTTTTTTTATTCTTTTTGACCTTTTAAAATAGACCCACATGAGGGGCCAGCCCAGTGTCATAATGGTTAAGTTCGCACGCTCCGCTTCAGCAGCCTGGGGTTGGCAGGTTCGGATCCTGGGCGCAAACCTACCCACCACTTGTCAAGCCATGCTGTGGCAGGTGTCCCACGTATAAAGTAGAGGAAGATGGGCACAGATGTTAGCTCAGGGCTAATCTTCCTCAGCAAAAAGAGGAGGATTGGCAACAGATGTTAGCTCAGGGCTAATCTTCCTCACACACACACAAAAAAATAGACCCACATGAAATGTTACAGTTATTAGAATTCTTTATAGTATTAGACTGGGTTTTGCGGAGATCAGTTATTTTTAAATTCTATTACCGTGCTAAATATAAAACTGTCTAAAGTGTTTCCTTCACATACTAAAAATGGAAGTAACTTAATGGTATTTATTTAAAATATGTATGTAGCGGGCCAGCCCCGTGGCTTAGTGGTTAAGTGCGTGCGCTCCACTACTGGTGGCCCGGGTTCGGATCCCAGGCGCGCACCAACGCACCGCTTCTCCGGCCATGCTGAGGCCATGTCCCACATATAGAAACTAGAAGGATGTGCAACTATGACATACAACTGTCTACTGGGGCTTTGGGGGAAAAAAAAAAGAGGAGGATTGGCAATAGATGTTAGTTCAGAGCCAGTCTTCCTCAGCAAAATGAGGAGGGTTAGCACGGATGTTAGCTCAGGGCTGATCTTCCTCACAAACAAACAAACAAATAAATATGTGTGTAGCATGACTTTTCCTAAGCTGCTTCAGAATTTCAACAGAGGCCCCAAAGACAGAACATTAGATACCACACCATTTAACATGGCAAGCCAAACTTGTGAAACCAGTTTGGGGACCCTTAGCTCATTGCTCGCCTTTAGCACGTGTGAGAGGAGGTTGAGCTTGATGAGGGAGATTGGTAACGAGGCTTTCTTGAACAAGAGCGTTGTCAGAGTGCTATGGCATTTCCTCTTCTCCTTAACCAAGTGAAGAGGACTTCGGAAAATGACTGAGCTTAATATTTTTATCTTGTGAAATTTGTGAGATGGTACCACTTGGACCTGACCGCTCCTAAAAAAATCCAAAGAAGAAGCTAGCGTAGTCTATGAAAGCAGAGCCAGGAGAGAAGGCTACAGTGGGAATGTGTTGAACTTCTATTTACAGCAAGCATAGGTTTATGTTTCCTAATAGCAAGATGTGAACCTCACAGAAAAGACTCATTCCAAAAAACTTTAGGGTGACCCCAGTAAAGAAAGAACCTGTGTGAAGTAGACTTCTAGAATCAAGGGCTAGAATTGCAGTCAGAAGTTTTCAGCAGGGAGATCACCAAAGAATCTAGTAAAGTACCTAACTAGAGTCGGCATTTGAAATCTGCCACACCCCATAAAGTGATGCGTCGTAATTTTCTATCCAGGGTCAAGGAAGAACAGCTCAACACAGTGCTTTTAAAGTGGCAAGGGTGAGAAAGAATAAGGTTGCTTTCTAGTTATGCTCTGTGGAGTCCAGCTCCTCCTTCATTAATTGATTATTCACAGCTGTAGCTCACTTGACATACCAGATTTATCCTGAAAAGTTTCTGTGCAATTTAAAGATTTTATTTATTTTATTTTTTCCCCCCAAAGCCCCAGTAGATAGTTGTATGTCATAGCTGCACATCCTTCTAGTTGCTGTATGTGGGACTCGGCCTCAGGATGGAGGGAGAAGTGGTGCCTCGATGCGCACCCGGGATCCGAACCCGGGCCACCAGCATTACAGCGCGCGCACTTAACCACCAAGCCACAGGGCCAGCCCTGTGCAATTTAAATTTACACTTTGACTCTGGTTTTCTGCTTGAAATAAATTATAAAATGGAAAGTATGTTACCTAGGTATACTCAGGAAAGATTTTGGTACCAGTTTATAACATCATAATATTTTGCAATATAAGAAATAATTTCACTTCACATATTTCTTTCCAGTTATATATATTCATCATCATTCTGCCCTTAAAATTGCCACTTTGATAAGACTCTTACCTTGCTCTTTCGTTTTACAAATTCTAAGATTGGTAGCTTTATCAGTTTTTGTTAGTCAAATCAGGTAATGGCATGGTTTATCAGTATTTATCTCCTTTGTATTTCTCACTTCATAAATAGATAGTATTTTCATTTATCTGACAAATCTTTGTATACATCATTTTATTTCAGATTTTTAATTAAAATATTGTCTTAAGAGATTATACATTATCCTCCCTTTTTGCATGGTATAGTATACAGAATATAGACGTCACATTATCTTGTTCATTATTATAATACAGTGATGTTATCCACTAGCAGTTGAAGTGGTCAGCACTAAATTAGCAGTGACTTGGTTTAGATGGTAGATCCATGGGTCTTGTTTTTGTTTTTGGTTCTTTGACTTTAGTAATGAAAAAAGACTTTGTTAAAAATGGGAAGTAAGTAAAGAATAAAACATTATTAAATAATAAAACTAATTTAAGAAATAAAAAGTCTATCTTTTATATTGGCATCTTACAATAAGTACCTTAAATAATTTGACCCTCTTTTTTTACAATAATAGCTTTATTTAGATATAATTCACATAGCACACAATTCACCTGTTTAAAATGTACAGTAGAGTGGTTTTTACTAAATTCACAGAGTTGTGCAACCACAGCACAGTCAGTTTTAGAATATTTTAATCATTCCACAAAAAAACAAAACAAAACACCTTATCCAGTAGCAGTCACTCCTATTTCCCCCTGCCCCCAGCCCTAGGCAACCAGTAATCTACTTTCTGTCTTTATAGATTTGCTTATTCTGGACATTTCATATAAATGGAGTCTACGTTATGTGGTCTTTCGTGACTGGATTCTTTCACTTAGCATAATGTTTTCAGGGTTTATCCATGTGGTGGCGTGTATCAGTACTTCACTCCTTTTTATGGCTGAATAGTATTCCATTGTATGGATGTATATATCACATTTTGTTTATCCATTCATCAGATGATGGAAATTTGGGTTGTTTCCACTTTTGGACTGTTATAAATAATTCTGCTATGAACATTCACATACAAGTTTTTGTGTGGACATATTTTCATTTCTCTTAGGTCCACTCCTCCTAGGTAGGAGTGGAATTGCTGAGTCATATGATATCTCTATGTTTAACCTTTTGAGGACATGTCTTACTGTTTTCCAAAAAGGCTGCACCATTTTACACTCCTACCAGCAGTTTATGAGGGTTCTAATTTCTCTACATCCTTGCCAACACTCATCATCTACCTTTTTGATTATAGCCATCCTAGTGGATATGAAGTGGTATCACATTGTAGTTTTGGTTTCCATAATATTGATTATCTTTTCATATGCTTATTAGCCTTTTTTATATATCTTCTTTGGATAAATGTCTATTCATATCCCTTACCCATTTTTAAATTGGGTTACTTGTCTTTTTATTATTGAGTTATAAGAGTTCTTTATATATTCTAGATACAAGTCCCTTATCAGATATATAATTTGTAAATATTTTCTCCCATCCTGGGTTTATTTTCACTTCTTTGATGGTGTCCTTTGCAGCACAAAAGTTTTTAATTTTAATGTCCAACTTTCTCTTTTTTCTTTTGTTACTTTGTTGCTTGTGCTTTTGATGTCATAATTTTAAAAATTACCTAATTCACAAAGATTTACACCTATGTTTTCTTCTAAGAGTTATATAGCTTTGGCCCTTACATTTAGGTCTTTGATCCATTTTGAGTTATTTTTGTATATGGTTTGAGGTATAGGGGTCCAACTTCAACATTTTGCATATAGATAACCAGATTTAACCCTTGTTTATAATCTGGGTGGGTTCTTTTTTTTTCTTTTTTTTTTTTCATTTTAGGCCCCTGCACAATGTCTACCAGGACAGTGGCAGTGGGGTGTTCCTCAGGTAAATATTAGCTTTTTTTTATTGTGTTTTTGTGAAGACTGCATGAATATTAAAGTCAGGAGAACTAGATTTGAGACCTTCCTCTTCTGTTTATTAACTGTGATACCTTTGGTTCATTTAATCATTATATTTCTCAGCTTCCTCATTTGTAAAATGGAAATAATGATACTATACCTTTGTAAGTTTCCTCACATGATTTTTGTGAAGATCAAATGAGATCATGTAAATGAAAACATTTTATAAATGAGTGCTATATAAACATGAAAAATTATTTTTACTATTAGTATTATTGGAAAAATTTAGCATTTTTCTAGCTTTACTTCAGATTTTGCTTCAGTTTGATTTATGCTCCTAAATGAGTATTCCATCTCCCAACTTTTGATAACAAATAGTATATCACCAAACATATTGTTTAATGACATTTCCCACTTCCATGGGAAGTCACAAAGCTGAGAATAGATATGTATGCAATATACCATAGGTTGTATTATTACAACCTTTAACAGTGATCTCAATATAATTGTTATCTGAATTTATATATGAGGTTCGGAAGCACTAAGAACTTTTAGTACTTACCAGTGATAAAGTTCTTTCATGACAACTACACAACTGGAATTTATAACGACCCAGAGATCCTAGTTTCTTGCTAAGATAATTCTTTGCTATCCCTGAAAAAGAACTTTAGGAAAATATGAAACAAATATTTCTCTCATTTGTTGGGTAATCATTTGTTTAATTGAAATAACTAGTCATATCTGAATTAGAAATACGGTTTTATGTTTTAGTCTCCTGCCTCTTCTGCTCCGTTCTTATACCTCCAACCTTCTGAGGTTATTTATCAACCAATGGAAATTGCACAAGATGGTGGATGTGTTCCTCCTCCACTGTCTCTGATGGAAACTTCAATTGCAGAGGTATGTATTAGTCTCAAAGTAATTTATCTATAATTACCTCATCTTAACATTTATTTCTTTTTCTTTTCTAAAAGTATTTGTTCAAGACCCTCATTGAAGCTGCACATCTTATATTTTCTTTGGTTTATTCACATCTCTTCCCCTTTTTTATATGTAAGAATGCTTCATCTTAGACTCCTTCACTAACTAGTTCTGAACCATTTCTCAAATCAGCTGTTCGCTCTACCAAGCTAATCCCTGACCCAATCTTCTTCTAAGAGTAGGATACCAAATGCTTCTTCTGATTTGCCTGTCAATCTGTATTGTTGCTAACATTCTGTCAATTGAAAGCATATAAAAATTAAGTCAAAGAAGAAAAATTCTAAAAAAAATTCTTCCTTCAAAAATTAATAAGTGAAGTACAGTACCTTTTTTTTTTCTTCTTTTTGTATTAGCCTTATTCTGATCATGGAGTTCAAGCAACGTACCACCAGGTTTATGCTCCAAGTGCCATTGCTATGCCTGCACCTGTGATGCAGCCTGAACCAATTAAAGTAAGCAGTTTGTTTTGATTTTTTTTTCTGTTTTTCTTCAGTCATATTTCAAGTTTTCTAAATTTCTCTTCTGAAAAGGAACAACTTTGCATATTTATATCACATGGGTGATGATATAATTAGTGAACTAGTGAATTAGTGAACTCTTTCCTGTGAAGGAAATACAATTCTAAATTAACTATAATTCTTATTAATTAATTTTGAATAAGTTATGGATTTTTGACCACATATGGTCAAAAATGTTTTATTTACTGTGGTAAAATATATATAACTTAAAATTTGCCATTTTTAAGTGTACAACTAAGTGGTATTAATTACATCCACAATGCTGTGCAAATTCATCACTATCTATTTCCAAACTTTTGTATCACCCCAAATAGAAACTCTACATTAAGCAATAACTTCCCATTCCCCTCCTCCCTCCAGTCCCTGGTAACCTCTAATCTACTTTCTGTCTCTGTGAATTTGCCTAGATATTTCGTAAACTCAGATTTTGACTGTGATAAAAGCATGTAACATTTATGGGGAGAAGAAAACAGTTCATGATCTACTTTTCCAGTTTGAGAATTGTGCTCATGCATCCTAAATCGGATCCAGGTCAGAGTGGTAATCTAGTTAGATCTTACCCCCATATGTGCACAACCTCCTTCAATAACATCTGGCACCAGAATGGTGCATTTGTTGTAATTAATGAGCCTACACTGACACATCAGTATCACCCAAAGTCCGTAGTTTACACTAGGGTTCACTGTTGGTGTTATACATTCTATGGGTTTTGACAAATGTATAACGACTTGTATCCATCATTATACTATCATACAGAATAGTTTCACTGACCTAAAAATCCTTTTTGCTCTGCCTATTCATGTCTCCCTCTCCCCAACCCCTGGCAACCACTGATATTTTTTGCTGTCTCCATAATTTTGCCTCTTCCAAAATGTCATATAGTTGGAATCATACAGTAGGTAGCATTTTCACATTTCCTTCTTTTACTTAGTAATACACATTTAAGGTTCCTCCATGTCTTTTCATGGCTTGGTAGCTCATTTCTTTTTAGCACAAAATAGTGTTTCATTCTCTGATGTACTACAGTTTATTTATCCATTCACCTACTGAAGGGCATCTTGGTTGCTTCTAAGTTTTGGCCGTTATGAATAAGGTTGCTGTAAACATCTGTGTGCAAGTTTTTGTATGGACGTAAGTTTTCAACTCATTTAGGTAAATACATGAGAATGCAGTTGCTAGATTCTATGATTAGTGTGGTTAGTTTTTTAAGAAACTGCCAAACTGTCTTCCAAAGTGGTTGTACCATTTTGCATTCCTGCCAACAATGAATGAGAGTTCCTATTGTTCCACAGCCATGTCAGCATTTGGTATTGTCAGTGTTTTGGATTTTTGTCATTCTAATAGGTGTATAATGACATCTCGTTGTTTTAATTTGCAATTCTCTAATGACGTATGATAAGTATATTTTCATATGTTTATTTGCCAGCTGTATGTCTTCTTTGGTTAGTGTCCTGTGAAGGCCTTTGCCCCATTTTTTAATCAGGTTGTTCATTTTCTTATTGTTGAGTTTTAAGACTTCTTCGTATATTTTGGATAACGTTCCTTTATGAGATATGTTTTTTGCAAATATTTTCTCTCAGTCTGTGGCTTGTCTTCTCATTCTCTTGACACTGTCTCTCACAGAACAGAAGTTAATTTTAATGAATCCCAGGTTATCAATTATTTCTGTCATGGCGTGTACCTTTGGTGTTGTATCTGAAAAGTCATCAAGCCCAAGGTCATCTAGATTTTCTCCTATGTTATCTTTTATGAGTCTTATAGTTTTACATTTTGAATTTAGGTCTGTGATCAATTTTGAGTTAATTTTTTTGAGGAGTGTAACATCTGTATCTAGATTCACTTTTTTGCATGTGGATATCCAGTTGTTCCAGCATCGTTTGTTGAAAAGACTATCTTTGTTCCATTGTATTCCATTTGCTGCTTTGTCAAAAATCAGTTGACTATATTTATGAGTCTATTTATGGGCTTTCTATTCTGTTCCATTGATCTGTTTGTCTTTTCTTTTGTCAATACCACACTGTCTTAATTATTGTTGCTTTATAATGTTTTGAAGTTGGGTGATGTCAGTCTTCCGACTTTGTTCTTCTCCTTTAATATTATATTGGCTATTCTGGGTCTTTTGCCTTATCATATAAACTTTAGAATCACCTTGTTGATATCCACAAAATAACTTGATGGAATTTTGATTGAGATTTGTTGAACTGTAGATCAAGTTGGGAAGAACTGACATTTTGACAATTTGGAGTCTTCCTATCTAGGCACACAGAATATCTCTCCATTTATTTAGTTCTTTGATTTCTTTCATCAGAGTTTTGTAGTTTTCTTCATCTAGACCTTGTACATATTTTGTTAGATTTATACCTAAGTATTTCATTTTTTTATTAATTTCTGGTAAATAGAAAAGTAATTGACCTTCTATCCTGCAGCCTTGCTATAATTGCTTATTAGTTCCAGGAGTTTTTTGGTCATTTCTTTCAGATTTTCTACGTAGATGATCATGTCTTCTGCAAACAAAGAGAGTTTTATTTTTTCTTTCCCAATCTGTATACTTTTATTTCCTTTCCTTTTCTTGTGTTATTGTGTTAGCTAGGACTTCCAGTACAATGTTGAGAAGGAGGAGTGAGAGGGGACATCCTTGCCTTGTTCCTGATTAATAATTTTTATTACATTTAAAAATAGAGCAGTGATACCTTTGAGTCCACTAAATGCTCACACAAGTAATTTTTTAATGTAACATTACAACAGATATTATGTAATTTAACCTGATATTCTAAAAAAGATCCATTGACATTTTTCTCATTTATTCCTTTTACTTTATTCCAAAACAAGACAAACAAAACAATTTAAGTCATCTCCTGCTAGTTTCAATAAAAAGTACGTGTACATGAATTTTGCCATACATAAACAAAGTAGCCATTAACAATTCTAAAGTAACAGTTAAAATTAGAAGAAAACTATGGACTCAGGGCATGAACAGAGCTGAATGTAATCTTAAGGGTGAAGTCTGATTAATTGTATCTATAACACTTCAAATATTATTTTTCAAATGTTATGTTCAATAAATGTTTGAGGAATTGAACTGCTGAGAATGAGTTGTTACTTAAGGCTTGTCATATGGTAGATAAAGTCCATATGATATGTCTTTACAAGGGGCAACTTATTTATGTGATTTATTAATTAACTAATAGCCCATAATTCATTTAGATTCTACCATATTTGACAGTACATAGTAATATGTGACAGAAAGAACAATAGATAATTTAAATCTGTAAATAATTTAAAGTTTTATTTTAGCTATAGTTTTAATCTCATCCTCCAATTAAATCCTTTTTTTTTTTTGGTGAGGAAGATTGGCCCTGAGCTAACATCTGTTGCAGTCTTCCTCTTTTTGCTTGAGGAAGATGGTCCCTGAGCTAACCAGTCTTCCTGTATTTTGTATATGGGACGCCACCACAGCATTGCTTCACAAGTGGTATATAGGTCCATGCCCGGGATCCGAACCTGTGAACCCCGGGCCGCCAAAGCGGAGCCTGCAAATTTAACTACTATGCCACCGGGCCAGCCCCAAATTAAATCTTTTTTGTCAGATTAGAAGGATAAACAAACTGATTTGATTTTGCCTCTCTTTCCTTATTTTTAAGAAACTTTCTTAAGGAGCATTCTAAAAAGGAAAAATAAATTACTAAAAGTCAAGATAGGAAGTGAAAATAAAGGAGTTGAGGTAACTTCCAGGTAGTATAAACATTATAGGAAAAAGACAAAATGGGCGGTATGAAACAGAAAATATATCCTATAAATATTTTTCAGGTGAAAATTATTTGGCCAATTTTTAAAGTTGAGAGGAGGTTTTTAAATAAACCTTGGTTAGAATTTCCAGAATGACATAAAGGACTCTTCCTTAAAGGTTTACAAGATGAAACAGGAGGATTTTTTCACTTTGCAATGAAGAGCTTATACTGTTTAGGTTGAGAACATTTCATTGGAGAAAGAATAAAGAAAGATAAGGTATTTTGCAATTTACAAGTACTTTAAAATCTGTTACTGGTGTTCATTCTGAAGTTTTAAAGATAAGCAACAAATACAACACCCTCAAGCAGTACTGTTTCATGAAGAGTATAACTAAAGTCTGAAGTACTGATGAAAGAATGGCCAAGAGAATGTATAAGAAATTTCAGTATATTTTATCTGATTTAGTTTGTGGAGAAAACTAACTCAAATTGACAGAACCTTGTCTTAAGTCTGAGGAATGAAAAAGTAAGCAGAAAATGACTGCTTTGGTAATACAAAAATATAGAACACTTTGTTAAAAAGTGGACCACTGATGTACAGCATGGTGACTATAATTAATAATACTATATGGTATATTTGAAAGTTGTGAAGAGAGTAGATCTTAAAAGTTCTTATCACAAGAAAAAAGTTGTAACTATGTGAGGTTTTGAGTGTTAACTAGACTTATTGTGGTGATCATTTTGCAATATGTACGTATATTGAATCATTGTGTTGTGTGTACCCCTGAAACTAATATCATGTTATATGTCAATTATAGCTCAATTGTAAAAAAAATTTGTCGAAGGAAAAAAACGTGGTCCACTGACATATGTAATTATGTCCAGGTAACATAAGTTTGAGGTAAAAGTTATCTGTAAACTTTATTTTTAAAAATGGATAAGATCAAGAGAAAGGAAAAAAAAATTTAAGCATGAGTGTGAAGTCTGAGATAATTCTCTCAAAGATGCATGAAGCTGATGGTTTTATTATTTATTTTAAAAATTTGCTTCTTTGAGCTACATGTGTAAGGAATAGCTAATATTGATAACGTTCTTCTCTTTTTTGGGGTCACTTATATTGTTCTTCTCAGATGTTTTGTGATTTTTGCCTTGAGACAATTTTTTCCTGCAAGTATCATCAGCTTAAGATGGTTGGTAATATTTAGA